GTATTTCGCATGGAAAACAAGTGCCACAGAGACAATACATTCATCCACATGGCTATAAATTCGCATATATATTAGAGAAATCTGTACTTAGAATCTTTGAAACATCCCATTTAAATCTCTGCTTCTTTCAGTTACTTCTACTGAGGATGAGTTTCTGGAAGCCTCGTTGACAATACGGATGTCGCTAACATTTGTTCCTAGGTATTTTCATTTCACTTAGAATTTACTACCTCTTACAACCTGCCATCAAAATGTTATCTAATTTAAAATATCGGCTTGACAGTCTACGCTAATGTTTAAGATAGTTGGTGGCTTGAATGAGCCCCAGTTTGAAGTTAACATAAAATATATATATAAATAAACGTTCCTCAACAAACGTTTATAACAGCCATCCTATTCTATGCTCACACAAGAAACAAAAATATTAGTTATATCCTTACTTCTACTAAATAATTATTGGCTTCTGATCATTTCAAATTTCGTATCGATAGGGTCAGCATGTTCTGATCTCTACTAGCCTATTGGTCACACATTTGTCTGAGGAATGAACATTATTGAATGTGAAGTTGTCCAAGGAACTATACAGCTTACTGAAATCAAGTACACATCAACTAAGCGGCAAATATACTCACGGTAGTCATACCTTGACCTTACTAAAACAAACAAGAAATTCCAGACTTTCAAGGATATGTGCTATGTCAGTTTAGAAGAGAGAAGCAGTGCACATCTGCTCAGAACTTAACTAAGTAAACGCTCTCTTATAATGAGTTAGAATTCTACTTCTCACTCTGTCGTGTTGGAGACCCTCATGTTGAGACTATCTAATAGACGTAAATGAGGAAACTGATCCAAAGTGACACGGAAGTACGGCATGCATAACAACGATGAGGCTACTAACCACCACTTTTCTGGTTGACGAAACACGTGAGCTCTTCTGTTGGACAGATACGCTGAATACATTTCTGCAATGTAGTCTGAGTAAACATTCCTCTCAGTCTGTTGGCATCTACTCGTTCGATTGGCTTAATTGTCTCTAGTATACCAGTGCTCTTACATAGCAGTGAAATTTCACAACTGTCATACAAATTAACTATTCTGTTTCTCAAGTGTTTACGACTCCAATATAACTAACTACTCCACGATGCCAAGCCGTAAACATTCATAGTGTGACTTGTCAGGTTCACTAGACTATCTGGATGGTGTAGTCTGAGTTGTCACAACTTGATCGGCATTTGTACCTCATAAAAGCAACTCACTTATATGAGTCAATTTCACCGTAGTTATTATCAAAGAAACTTGCAAATTGAACTATCCCAATTTTTCTAATGCAAAAATTTGGGGCGCATTTTCAAAGAGACTCTCACAGTTCCATAATAGTCATTCAGTAATACATCAGATGCTAGCAAAGTTAGATGGTGATACCTGAAGGTGACAAGCACATTAGATGGCGTGTCGTGAATCGCTATGATGTGGCTGTGCTATTCGCTGCTGACAGCTTTCCAAGGCAGTTAAAGCGTTAGGAGAAACACTGGAACCGCACTTGTTAAGGGACTGGTGATTACGGGTCTATAAATAACGCCTCCTCGCTTATCATTTTATCTTTGTTCGTGGTCCGTGAGAGTACTTGCATAATGCAACAGAAACAAGTGACAATAAACATTCAAGCAACACAGTATTTCCAGAAGTGTAACTTTATTACAATGAAGAGGTAGTGTAGACCAAGGGAGACATGTAGATTAATTGGAATTCGTCTGTCGCTGATGGCTTCACATTTTATCTAAGTCATCTACTGTCTTGCATAACTATGATAGTAGAAGGATTATTCTTACTGTGAGACTGGAGGGTTGAAGAAACGGTCGCTTGAAGCCTATAGAACACGTCTTGTTTAAAAGGCTTAGAACTTATGTATTTGTTTCTGTCATAAAATGGCTGGAGTGTTGGGCCGTGTGGTTGTTCACGAGAAATAAGTCACTACAGTCAGTCTACTTTCGGTCACTTTTATAAGGTTGTTGTATCAACTCTACAAAAACGTAAGCGCTTTTCCATTCACTGACTTCCAACCAATTTATGTGGCAATGTAAAATGCACTAAAACGCTAGTTTTAGACAGAACAGTTCAGTGTGCCATGGGAATTTCTTCTGATAGCTTCTAACTGAGTCGCAGATGTCTACACAGGTGAGAAGAGAGCAGCAATCGAACAGTATATGTCTCTTGTATTCAAGTATCCTGACTAACACACACCAACAGCATGTAGGACAATAAAGTGGAAGACAGAAGACACAAGGTCAAGAAATTTGCTATTAGTCTCTGAATCAAATATGAGATGCAAACGAATCCGAATGCATCTTCGAAATATGCAATAGTGATATATATATATATATATATATATATATATATATATATGGCGAGAGGGAGAGAGAGAGTATTGTTTGTTCCTGATCGTTTAATCCTTCAATGCAGACTAAACAATCCTCAGTATATCGTTTGCGTTAGCCAGTTACAACTGTCGCACAATCAATGGTCTCAGTAACTAACTTAATGTTTAGAATAAAGATTTATGGGTACCAAATAAAGGCTTTCAATTTTTCTTGTAGCAGTGATAAAGTTATCTCTTCTGTTTAACTACATCAGTACCAAATATGAGTGAAATAAATTAGTAAGCATGAATTCCACTTGTATGCTAAACACAGTAAGCAGTATAACCAGAAAGTAAGCAATGACGGAACAGTAGAAATGAAGCGTTGAAATGTTCGCGACTCGTAGTTGTGGAATAGACTTTCTTTTGAACGCCATTCAACGCATAAAAAGTGTGCCACTGCAATATACTCCCTTTCAAATAATCAAGTCCACCCAATACAAATGAACGTAGGCAATGTCGCTATAGTGAGCCATTTGAAAATCCACCAGCTAATGCTTCTTAGACATCAGAGGATAAAAAGGAGCCTGCGTGATCCCGAACTTGAAGTTATATTTTCGAAGACAAGAGCAACTGGCCATTTCATCCTATTCCCATGCAGATTTGATGTACCAGTTACATTTCTATACATTGATATTGTTTTGTTTCACTCAGCTATAAGCCTATATTTCCCGACAATATTTCTTCGCATTTATTACAATAGGCGTAAGAAAGTGTGTGTTAACGGTTCAGGTAAAAGTTCTATAGCAGTTTGTCAATCCATTGATCAATTCTGCATAAGACGACGCAGTACCAATAGTTGTATATTTGGGACAGAAATAGTGGGGGAACCATTCATCAGTGTGCAGTGATAGATCAGAAAGTATTCCAATCACTTTTCTCGTGAATAAGATTCACTGGATATCACACATTACTTACAGTCCAGCTCACATGGAATGCTGACTGCTGTGATCATCTTGTGAACATAGACACGTCAGAAGAGCATAGCTCACAAGGTCTAAGATATAATTAATAACCTAAGGTTGTCCATTTCGAAGAGATAGCCAGTATCACGACTTGTGGAAGACATGTTTCCTGAGAATCACGGTTGCATCTTCTCAGCGACGTCGAATCGCGGTGTCAACATATTACGGAGAGAAGAATTATCAAATAACGATCAAAAGATTTCTTAAATTATAGTTTAGCTATGTGTATACGTTCGATAACATGCAGTCACAAAGAGTGGTGAGAAACAAACTGAAGAACAACAATAAATGTGGAGGACGAAATACTACACACCAATTGGATGTTGTGACTGCACAAACTGCTGTTCTTGCTTTATTCAAATTCATAAAGGGGAATGAATGTATGCATATTCGATCATACACAGAATTCAAGGAAAGGGACTGCCATAATTTTTTGAATAATTCTTGCTGTCTTCATATACACCTACAAATACAGTTGTATGAAGACATCGAAATTCCCCTAGTGTCCATGCTGGTCAGCATCAGTTCTATCTGATGTAATTCAATATCTCCAACAACCAATAAAATGATTCAGATAATATTGTAGTTTGAAGGTGAAGTGAACTGGCCCCTATGGAACAAGAAGAATATCGCAAAATATGACTTTGACGCACAACAACTAATTGATTGGTCAAAGAGAAAACTACAATTTCAGAAAATTATATAAACGGTTGCATGGACTAACTAGTTGTCCGAAGTCATAGAAGACACTATAATACAATACACCCATCATTCAATATGATTATAGCCTTGTGCATCAGTCTGATTCCGGTCATTTTGACAACCACTGTCCAAGGTAATTCCTTTTTCTCTTTTTCTTCTCTTTCTGTAAAATTAAACACAATCAATTGATGATGTTCCATTCGTCGTGAAAATATTGTACTGATTGGGAGGTTATTTTCAGTGTGCAGAGGTGATGAGGTTCTCCCCACTTGTGTGTCTTGCCTCATTTGCATGCATCACATTGAGTCCGATATGTTTGTTATTCACTCTCTCAGGATGAAAAGGAGTTAGGATTGAGATGGAGAGGTTGTGGTGAGTACGTGTAAGTAAACTAAGTAAGTAGCTAGAGAAGTCATAATTGCTAGATGTAGTTCTCCTGCAGTACGGATGAAGTGTATACCTTCACAAATACAATCTTTGTTTCGAAGCGCACGAAGTAGACTCCCACTATGAAGACTCAGACAGACGGAAGAGGCTTCGAAATGATGCTGGAAATATGCACAATGCTGCATTCGTTTCATGGAGCTGTAAAACGAAACTGTGAGTGAGCTTCGTTGGAGGTGAATAATTCTGCCTTAGAATTACTACACGCACTCATTTGTAGTCGTCTGGTTGAGTACGTAATCCGTCCTACCTACACTTCCAATCATTCTGCCGAAACACGCAATCCTTTTTGAAATTACTACTACTGGCATTAATAGTGATGCAGATCGGAATTGTAAGAGCACTCGTACACTTGACAGGTCTAAATAGCCTCTGTCGGAGAAGCTTATGGGAAATTGTTGACTAATGGCAATATGGCAAATTAGATACCGCTTTACTTTTCGTCAGAGCACGTGAATTCAGTAAAACGCGAATTCGGCAAAATTTATATTTGAATTAGTAAAATACAGGGAAACACTAACTTGGAAAGCTTTAGGTTTGAAGTAGTAGAAAATATTTATTTATTTACATGAATAAATATTGTAATGGTTGACGTTTTTTTCGTTGGAAAACTCTGACATATCAAAATGCGAATCGGGTACGAATATCCTCTAAACGTTTGGCAATATCGCTAGGCGTTTTGTCCATTTCCTCAGCTATTGACCGTTGTTTATTACCATCTAAGGAGTTGAATATTTCACACAGATCGCCATCGATTACATTCTGCACAGGACAAAGAGAAAAAGAAAAGTCCACTGTTATAGTGATCAACGGGAATCAAATAATCAGTTGTGCAGCTCATTCCTGGAACTTACTTTACTTTACTTTACTTCGGCTATCTCCTACGGGAGGATGAGCCGGCTTCATGAACGTCTCGAATCATCGCTGCCCAGGCGCGGCAATTTGTAAGAGAGTTCATGAAGTTTCATGGGAATTTGGTACGAGTGATGTCCCCAGCATCGCTCGGCCTTTTGTTTGAGAGTGCAGCTCTAGCCTTTACACAGCCAAGTGTGACCTACAAGGCAGTAGGAGTGGAGTAAGGAGTCCACTATCCATTGGCAGCCGGTGACCGGAGTTCGGTTCATACGCCTTTTTGAATGGGGCCAGACATCCAGGACATCCAACAAGCCCTTTGTCCATACGTCTGCCGGTGAGCTCCAGTGAGCTTCATACGCCAGTCGTTGGAGGTTTGGAATCAGGGTTTAGCCATCTCCCCTAGACCGTCATCCAATGGACAGTCAACCCGGTGGAGAGCGCCGGGCATCCGCTGGAAGGAATTATGCTAATAGCAGCACTACACCTATAACTGACGACTACGCGAAACAGAGATGAGTGACTGGCGACTCAGTGCAGAAGTCTGCTTAAAGGGTTGCTATTTCGAATAGCCACACCTCTTGCTTTCTAAATGACTCAATTACAAATTCAGTCATTGAAGTGAATTTTGGGTTTATGAACCCAAGATCCACAAGAAAATATGAAACGAATACATCTATGCTGTTGTACAGGAAAATTTAGCCACTGATTTTTAGAGCCCTAAAGGTCCTCATCGGGGAAATCTAAAGCTACTGTCTGCATGACTTACAGCAACACAGAATAATGCTGTATAAGGACATTTTTCAAGCGATAACTGAAAGGTAGGATAAAACAGAATATTGAGGTGAGTAAGCACAATAAAGAAACAAATCCATAAGTAAACGAAAGAATTAACAATTTTTGGAAGTATATCCCATTTCATTAGTTAAGACTTTTGAAATGCATAAGTAAAGAAATACAGAAATAATATCGCCAACTTACTCTAACCGGATAGTGCTGTGATCGATAATGAACGTGTTCTCGACCAACTAGCGATAAACCTTCAGCTCTCATATGAAGCTCCAAATGTTGGAAAAAGTCATAGGCGTCACGGGAAGCAAATGGAACTAACATTCCGATACCACCGGATAATGTAGAGTAAACAATGCCTTCGGAACCTCCAGGGATTAAAGTAGCCTTTTGCAAAGTGGTTACTATCTCACCAACGTAGAAATGGCATAAAACCTATAGAAAAAAAGTTAAGGTAAATAATTTGAAACCAAATAAAACATACTTCACACTTTTGGCTAGCACCACCAAGGAATCCTCTATCCCAAAGCGCACGATTTCCGCTAGGATCATCTTCAATATCATCGATGACATTTGGTGGCAATCGAAGAATAACAACATTCCCAAATTTATCTGAAACAGCGACCGTTGAAGCGTCCAAAACTGCTAAGTGTGTAATCCAACGGGGATTAGTGTCATCTGCAAATATAACAAGTTGACTATCTGATCGTGGTCTGTAACGAACCCAATGTACACTTTCTTGCACATCTGTCACTACTATTCGACTACCCACGGAGTAAATACCATTGATTAGAGTAGGGATATGCTAGAATAAAAACAGTTGACAAAAAAGTTCAAATAGTTAGTGTATATATATATAAATACTGACAATATGAAAATTTGAAGGTGAAAACTACAAAATGCTGAAATTGTGGGGAGTATTTTGACATTGTAGTAGAATATAATCCCATAATACATACGTTTATCTGATATAATACAGCGATGTAGTACTAATAAGTGGATAAAATTTCGAGCACAATTTGATGTTTATAATCATATCAATGTATTAATACGACACTATAACTGGCTTTGATGGTTTTACTCCTTCCCTGTATTTACTGCAATTTTTATATGGCCGGCATAGGTGCTGCATCATTTCGACTGCATATCTTGGGTGTTGATTTGATGGGCAGATGGAGAGAGAATCCTCGTTCACATATTCAACACCGAACGCGAGCGGCCGTAACTACACAACACCTATGCCGGATGTATGGTGAAATGTACCTTGAATAGGATGTAGAAACTGTAGTGTGAGGGTTTCGAAGGTTGATTTTGCATAAACGTTTTCTATTCACAGTGAAAAAACAAAGTTCAGAACTAAATCAATATATAAACAAAGTTTCCGACCTACCTTATTCTCACACTTCTTTAACAGCTTTTTCTTCCCTAAATCATATATCCGTAGTCGATTTCCCACACCTACAAGAAGGCGACCTTGGAAAGCACATAATGCTGCAGGAAAATCATCCACTGGTGTTTCATGAAGAAATTCGAGACGTTCTCCATTGTCCCAAATACGATATGTCCTCAAGCAACCACCAGAACAGGAACGTGGATTAAGGATAAGATCTTTAACAAGGGCCACAACAAGGAATTGTTCAGCTGGACTGGAAATGTTCATAAAATTAAAATAAAAAATGGAGACAATATTCTACTAACAGTGAAATTACTAATCAGCAGAGAATCAAAGAGAACAGAAAACAAATCACAAGACCTCCGCGAACATTAATCAATAATAAAGCCCTCTTGCTTCAGGTTTTTCAACGTATGAATAATTAGTAGTTACACATACAGTAGACAATCTATACAGATTTTTAATTCATCAAAACAGAGACAAACGATGTAGTTAATGTACCTTTTCGATAGCTTCAATATAGATATATGCTGCACCAAAAATAAAACCCTGAAAGTTGTGATAAGGTTAGCTACTGAAACAAATACTGAATTTACCTTTCTTTATAACCGAATGCTTCAGACAAACACCTACCGCAATTTAAACTCTCTTACAAGAATCAGGGTGACGCACATTCAATATAACATATACCAATGTTACCGAACATCTGCAGAAACCTTTCCAGCAAGTTCTCCAATCTACAGGAAGATGTTGTACAAAGTATGACAGACGGTAAAAATACTATAACCTCATTGCTTGGTGGGTATTTTAAATTACTATGGTGAAATCAACATAGGCATCCATGTTACGACATATTTGCTACAGGCACTTAACTTTCAAGATAAGGACGCCAATTTGTAAGTCTACTCCATGTATCAGCCTACAGGAAATGTTAACATTTACGTTCCAGAAATCTTTTACATACGACATAACCAAAAACACTAGTGCGGTCAGGGTAAACCACACTTAGTGTGCAGGGGTTGATGATACCGCCTAGATTGAAGTAGGCGGAACGTGACTCGAACCTCGGACCCATTCTAATGTTTAAGCTATGCCAAGACGAAAAAGCAATGTATTTCAGTCTTCTTAATTTGAGTAGTAACTCGGTTTTACTTCTTATGAATTCAGTGTATAATTAACTCAACGAGTTTTCGAGTGGTTGTACAATAATTGCATTACAGTTTCTAAGGATTCATGGCAATTAGAATGGGAATGACGTTTGAATGATAATGCATATTTCCCATTTACATACTTGTACGGCACTGAAAGCCACCACTAGATTCTAGATCTTTACTGCTAAGGTATACTAATAATCTCCCAGAAAACAGAAAAATTGAAATATTAAGTTATATTTAGGATCTCAGTGATCTGACTCGAAAAATAAATACATATAATATCAACCTGTTGGTAAGCATGAAAACTGGAGGGGACAACTAGGTTGATATAACTGTGTGCACATTAAGTCTTTTTTTTTGCTAACAGCTGATCTACTATGTAAACGATATATTTATCACTGTCAAAAGTAGAGCATAACATTTCTTGATGCATTTGTTGACTTGAGTCATAATTGACTTGGGCAAGATATCCGACTATAGATCAAAGGACGTATATGCCGTTTTCGAATGCAGGTGTTCGCATCCTACCTCTCGCATTGGATGAAACCACATCGTCAGTAACAATCAGGTTAGGCTGTGTTAGGTAAGGATGGTAAACCATCAGATACGGTTGTGAGCTTGCATCAACTGAAATGATTAAGAAGCACTTTACGCATAGCAGGTAAGTGGCACGGATGCGTTCATTTTTTAGTGAACTATCAGACCTAATGAGTTCTCGTTATTTCTTCATGTGATTATTTTTTTCCATGAGTACAATTCTATTTATTATGGTTTCTTCGCATTTAATTTTGTCTTTTAAGGAGTGTAACAACATGAATTGTTACAATTTAATACCATGTTGAAAATCCATTCCAGTTAGATTTCAGTATTTCTCGATGACATCACATTTAACAAGAGGTTCACATAACAGTTGACTTTTCAATTATCATTTTGAACAAAATACCTAGATTTATGAGAGTAGTTTATATTGTCCTTATCTTGAAATCAGTTATGAGTAAGATGTACAAAAGGTTTACTCAGCAAGTTGAAGACGCCTACACAGTACAATAATCTTGAAAGAAATACAAGTGGCTTTGTGATAATTGTCTTAACAACCTAATTAAAAGAGATATACGACAGACACAATGCTTAAAAAAATCCTATCTATAAAACTAAATCATGTATCACTTACAAAAATATACTGTAATAACCCCGAGGAATAACTACACTAAATCAAAGAAAGAGACTGACCTATCCACTTTGGACGAAATAGCAACTGGCAGTTAAACACCACGACACATTTTTCATCATATCATATACATGTATGAACAAAACTGGATGTACACTGTCAACTGGAAAAGTTTAGAAATCCTAAACACCGACAAAATCAAAGTAGACCGAAAAATTTTCAGACACGAAGTAACCACGTCAATAAGTAATTAATCGGCAAATGGATGATGGGTATGTATCATGATAAACCGCACACATGTCCTCTGAGGGTAACATTATACAAACAATTAATCCTGTTATATAACGCGGAACCAAAACCAAGCAACACATTTTGTGTCCGTACAACTTATTCACCAACCCTCACAGAAATAACCTTTACTACCTTATTTGGATTACACAAACGTTGTCAAAATCTATCAGTCGAACAAAAGCGACTATGCAGAAATCCCAGACATTGTGTCACAACAATATTAATGGTGTAGAATGATAATCATAAAAAATCCATGTAAAAGACAACCAAATGCAAACCTGGTTAACCTAACTCTAAGTAGTAAGTACCTAACGATGGCATCTGGTTTTCAACTACAAAGCTCTGGAAATCGTAAAAACAAAAATCGACTACATAGTTTTGGAAGATGAAACTAAAATATACAGAACTATTAGAAGATATAGATATATATTTAAATAGTGAATGGAAATAGCTTTTTCCTCTATGAAACAAAGCTTTGCTTATGTTTAGTTAGAATAATTATTTCATGCAGCTGGTAAACGATTATCCTAACCAACCAGTGTCTCAAGAAAAGTATCGCTTCTAATAACTTCCACGGATTACTGTTATTTAACATAGTCGGCTAACGTGTTTTTGTAGAAATCCTATACATTAATTAAAACTGAGATTATAGTGCATAATCTTTACAGGAGAATTCGTCTTCAATCAAAAATAGTAAAGAAGCCAAAGTGAATATTTTTAAATGCCTAAACTGGCTACTTCAATTCTCTAATTTCCAAATCAAACGATATATTCTGCTCACTAGTCCTTTACTGTTTCAATCAACCAAAGTGAACACTAATGATGGTCCCAAATACTTGATTGTAGGTGACCACTTCACGATGCGGGACCTGACGGAATGACTCCAGAGGTATTTAAATACGGTGGAGACAGTTTACTGTCTGCATTAACTGAGGTTCTAAGCAGCGTCTGGAAATCAGAGGAAGTCCCACCAGGTTGGTGTAAGTCATTGATTATCCAGATATACAAGAAGGGAGACGAAGTCTTCCTGTGATAATCAGAGGGATTAGCCTGATTAATATAGTATCTAAAGTTCTAGGCTCAATAATCGTGCGTAGACTAAGTGGTGCTCGGGAGGCACAAACACGAGAGAGCCAGGCGGCGTGCTTTAGACCAGGAAGAGGGAGTATTGATCATATCTTCACCCTGCGACAGATTCTAAAACATGGACATTCCTACCGGCGTCCAACAATCATATATTTATTGACCTAAAGGCAGCATTCGATTCTGTCGACCGAGAGGTTCTCTGGAGATGCTTGGCTGTAAAGGGAATGCCGCGAAAATACACTGCACTGATTAAGGCACTCTACTCGTACTCATACAGCCAGGTGAGGGCTTACGGCGAGCTGTCATCTGAACTGGTGACGACTAGTGGTGTCCGTCAAGGATGCCCATTATCCCCTTTTCTATTCAACTTCATCATAGATGTGTTAATGGACTTAACCCTAAGTGACTTCAGCGACTCAGGGATTGACTTGCTTCCAGGGAATAATCTCGTTGACTTGGAATATGCAGACGATATAGTCCTTCTAGGCGAAGACGCTGACAAAATGCAGAGTCTTCTAAACACCTTGAGCCGTAATCTACGAATGTTTGGCATGCGATTTGCTCCCGCCAAATGCAAGATGATGTTACAGGACTGGACTAAATCGACGCCTAGTTTAAAAATAGGAAGTGAAGTGGTAGAGCACGTTGACCGCTTCACTTATTTGGGAAGTACCATCAGCCAGTGCCAACGGGTTGATCTCTGACGAAATCTCAGCACGGACACAGGGGGTTCGTTTCGCATATGCCAGTTTACGCCGTCTCTGGCATAGACGAGATATCCGACTTTCGACTAAAGGGCGGGTGTATTGCTCATCAGTCCGCTCCGTCCTCCTTTATGCCCAGCTGTGAGACCTGGCCATTGAGAATGGAAGACATGAAAAAATTAGCCGTCTTCGATCATAGGTGCCTGCATTCTATCTCCTGCGTGAAGTGGCATAATAAGGTGATCAGTATAGAGGTTAGGCGTCGAGTTCTAGGTAAATAGGGGAAATCAATCGACGAGGTTGTGAAGTTACATCGACTGAGATGGTTAGGACATGTGTTACGTATGACAAGCCATCGCCTTCCTCGACAATGGGCAATGTTAACTGATATAGGGTCAGGCTGAAAAAGAGCTAGCGGTGGTCAAACAAAAACATGGCACCAGTCAATGAACTCTACAACAGTTAGTCTAAGTCACGTAGGAAGGTGTAGACTTCCTGGTTGGGGTCATCGGGACGGTAAAAACCAATGGTTGGAAACAACTGGTGACATGGCTCAAAATCGTTCTCAATGGCTGGTTGACGCAGATGCGTCCACTCCTTGTGACTTACGATTTCCAATGAAACTGTTTCGTTCTTCGTTATTACTATTCCTTTGTCTCACACCTCTGTTTACTGTCTCTATTATGCGTTTCTTCTACTTTCTTCTCTTGCTCTGTGTACTACATGGTGTGGCGACTTGAACTGCCGTACATATGTGCCAAGTTCTATGTTGAAAACAGACAGACAGACTTCACGATGACTAATTCATCCACGCCTTAGTTACACTTTAGGCTGGACTACTTTATATGAAAAATTGAGAAACGGGAACTATTTGCACAGAATTAAATAAAATAAAGTCGGATTGCATGTTAAAAATATTGAAAAGTTGGGACCGAAAATTCAGACTACGTGTCGTGTAATAAAAATCACCAAGACTAAAAGAATCTTTAACTGCGTCGATGTTTTATTTATTTACACTGATAACTGGCTTAGAAGAGCAAACCATAAAGTTCAAAACTACGTGTCTTACTGATTATTGAATTTGACAAATGCCAAAGCATGAGCGGCTTCATTTTGTGGAAATCGAATTATCTGACATGTGGTCCCATCCAGGGGCTTCAGACATCTCAACAAACTTGCCCACATGCCTTGCCCAGCTTTTGGAGCGCCGAAGGTCGCTTCTGGAAGACTTTCTGTAAGGAGAGAAGCAGCAGAGTCCTTAGCTGCGGCCATATCCTCAGCAGATCCATCATGAGCAGAAGCAATCATTCTCTTCAAAAAATAAGAAGAAAATTTTTAAAAACACCATGTACCTGGGCAAAAGGTTTTGCATACTTTTGATAGTGTTTTCATTAGCCATATCGTTAATTTGCGGCAAAAAATATGTTGAAGTGGTAAGCCACACAGCAATACACAGTTCAATTAAAGTCCTTAGGATGCAAAATCTGTTAATCTACTAAATCATTTCTCTATGTAACTTCACTTCTTATGCATCACTAAAAACAGTGGGGCGATAAGATATGACTTCTACTGTCAATATATCACAATTCAGAAATAAGCTTATTTTGATAATGTAATGTTGTTTTAGCAGGAGCAGTCTTATTACTATAGAATTATTAATTAGGCAGTATCCTAAACGAAAAATAAGCATCAAGAGATGTCAATGCATATACAACAAATACATTACAAAGCATCTAAGTGAAGGATATTAACTACCTCAGCCATTTGTCGTTTATGCGTATTTTTCACATCATCTGTGTAGCTGTTATGATCCGTTTCGATTATATAAGCAATATTTGAGTCCGGATGGAAGACCGATTTACGAGGTGTATATTGGAGTGGATAACTGATTTGATTGAATACAGCACCAAGCTTCTCGAGCGCCATAATCCTGTATGAGTAAGTGTATAAGCAATGGATATTACAGGAATAAGTGAAAAACAATAAATAACTTACAATAAAACCAGCATCTACCTATAGTCAACCTTTACCTCGCAAAATATTTAAAATCTTGCAGTTGTTCAAGCATACACATGACTAGGGAAGAATGCATCACTTAGGATATCATCGCGAAAAAAAAGTGAAATGACTAACTAAATTAAAATTTAATGTTAAACTACATAACTCTAAACTATGCACTTTTGTATAATGCATTTGAAAAGCGGTGATACATCACAGGATGCAACGATAGTAGAAAATTTTACCACAGGTATACAAACTTCACTATACGTCAAAAGCAGGATAATCAAACTGTGAAACTGCATTGTTCGCTGGAGGAATCCAAATGTCTTGATTGAGCTATTAGATCTGTTTGAAATAATGTATGCTGTCAAAACTGTGAGTAAAATTAGGCACAACGTATGAAACTAGAAGATATGACTATTGCTGAATTAAAAATGTAAGTTGTCTGCTATCTTATGGATATGGAAAATCCTATCGCCCTGTGAGTGATAAAATTTACTGTCCACTGAAATTACCAGTTAAAAGAATTTTGCAGCTATTAATAGTAAAGACGATGATCACCTAATCCCTAGTTGACTTTACAACATCCCACCTACCAACCTGTTGTGATATGATCGGTAACGTAATTGTTCCTTCTTAAAAGCATAGAAAACAGCTTTAATTCAGTTTCATAAACAAAAACCTATGTGACTATCGAGCAGTAGTACTATATGTTACATTTGTTTAACTGTCTTAACCAAATGCAGTTGTAAACTGCACAAAGACATTAGGGATTCCGAAAATAAGTGACGCTATAAACCAACAACCCTGGCCAGAGAGCGACCCATAGAAAGTGAATGAACCACAAAAAAGTTAGTTGATCTTTCTATCGACTACCAGTTACATCATAAGTTCCCAAAAAGAATTGCATCAAATCAATTAATGCGACAACATGAACCTACAAACAACTTCTCTACACTAAAGAAAAAAATATATATTACTCAGTGGTATCACAACTCCGAAATCCGAGCAGATAATTACCACTCTAATAAATGCTTGAACAATGCACGCAGTTGTGCACTTTTACATAATACGAACTACAAAATTTGAAAATGTAATATTCAAAATGAGGATCGAAGTGTTTGTATTTCCATGAAAATAGCTTTTTTGAAGCAACATAAAATGCATTTTAGTTAAAGGAAACCGACAAGTACTCACCGTAGAGAGTTATTACAAATTGCTACGATACCCTCAGGGCATTGTTCAGATGAAAAGCCAGATGCGTATTCCAGTGCTTCATATGATAGTGGAATAAGATGAAATCGGTTCTGGTAAGCATAACTTAGCCAGGAGCGACTAGAAACGGATAGAACTGCTTCTCCACCTTGCATAGAAATGCGGAATAACTTCACAGGACGAGTACCTAGATATCGTGTGCGTGTGTCAGATAGCTCACCAGTAACAGGATCTAAAATAACACGCAACAACACACCGTTAATTAAGCCAATGTTCAAATAAATAATGCCGCCGGAAGGTTTAGTCTCTGATTCTCCATCATCTGTCGATGGGAATGGTTCGTTGGTCCCCATTTCAACTATACATAAAGATTCTGGAGTAGATGGTATACCTTGCATTGTTAGAGGAGCTAGACAGTCCTAAAATGAGCAGCAAAATAAAAACAAGTGACACAATGTCTTAGTATTTCATGACATCGGGTAAAATATGTCATAATAAAAAACCAAATAGAGTGTTCCTAGCTACAAGTCTTGGTGAGATACACAATAACTGTCATCACTTATTACGATTTTTACTACGATGCCTATAATTACTGCTATTTTAACACATAAACAGTGCAAAACAGCTCAGTTATTTTCAAAATGATTTATCACAATTGGAGCTTACCGAGGTTGCTCTACGTCATTGGTCGACGAACATATGAGTCTTGTATGTGATTCCCAACATCAAAATGAGTAGCAATTCGTCATTACAAAAGAGTAACTTTCTATTTTATGCGGTGCAAACTTCTTAATTTCCATGATTTACCAAGTGCGTCATACCATAACATCATAAAAACGCCAGGTACTATACATGAGATACGTTCGGATGGTCAAAAAGAGAGCAGTATTGAATCATTTTACTATTCAAAAAACAGAACACTGATTTCCGTTCTATATGTCGGCTAATACTTTATACCACCGAACAGTATGTGACATGGATGAAATACGCTGGTACGAACGAGACTGTCAATTCTTTATCCATCCTTCTAGGTGCTCCTACGCGTCTCTTCCGCTTTATCATTTTCCACCTGTTTATACTTTTTTGTGCTGTTGCATAATGAGGTCAGTTGAACTGATAGCACAGGTTAGGACCGACTATATCAAGGCATCAATAGTTTTTTACAGAATAATTATGTAGTACAACCCTACTTTAGCTTTATTCAAACACAACTGATCACTAACTAGTGTATGTAGTATTAGCATGTACCTCGTACAAAAATTTAGGCTTGGTTTCTTGATAATTTAGTATGAAGACACCCATTTACAAATGATCGATCCATTTTTTCGTTTACTTCAGATAAAACAGTAGGATATTTCTTCAAACATACGGTTACAAATATAACACATTTTTATCCACTGCTTTTCACAACAATCATGACATGCTTTTAAAAAGAACTTACTGATGGATCTAGTGATAAAATGCGAACAGTATTATCAGCTAAACCAACGGCGAGAAATCGGGAACGTTGTTCGTTTGCTGGGATACGACCGAGTGCCATGCAAATGACATCTGCTGGCATTTCTTTTCGCTCAGTGTATTCGTTTAGCTGACCTGTCATATCCATCTCAAAATAGACAAGCTCGCCTCCCGTAAGGGCTATAACTACTTGTCGACGATTGACGGCGCATTTAGTAATTGTTTTTTTCCCAGGTGCACGCCAAACATTTACTCTTTTATCGGCTCGTATATGACGAATTCCATCAGGGTAAACTTGTACAAGGGCATCATCACCCAACTGAGAACAAATAAGAGTGGGTGTTGTACCCAGAAAACCTGAGTCAGTAACTTCCTCTACTGTTTCTCCTATAGACAATACCAATGTTGCGTTGACAAAGGACACTATTATGTATGCGTCATATTCCTCTGGAAAAAATTAAAAAATATGATATGAATTCCTCGTTAATATTACTAAGTAACACCAATTAAAACTTAGCGACAAATATCAATATATAACCCAAATACTTTGAATTCGATTTTAAGCACACACATGGTTTAGAAAAGTTTGTCAAATTATCTGCTGCATCATAACGAATTTCAGAAGTTATTGCACAGTCCTACAATTGAATATTTTACTTAGAAAGTGAAATACTGATCAGGTATCTATGTTGAGACTTCAAATGAATCCAAGTCAATGCAATTTCTCAAATACGCGGCATGTGCAGCGAACTCGACTATTTTTATCCCAAAAGGAACAGAAGTGAAATGAATTTTCAACTTCAAACTTTGAAATTTATTGCAGCAGTTCAAGTTATCACATCTCTTAAAAGCACACATAAAAGTAAAGAGAAACAAACAATAAACGAAAAGAAACTATAATAAATGAGGATGAATAGAAGGAATAATTACAAGAAAGCTAATACAGAAGATTTAGTGAATGAGGGTGTTTATACAGGGTGAATACATTTGTGCCATTTAGAATGATTTCGAGTCATGGTACGAAGTCCCAATCCATTGGCTATTAGGGTTTTGAGGACCGCAGTCACAGTCTACAACTCCTTATGTAACTGAAACCGACAGCCAAAAACCTCATGGATTGATACCATGTCTTGATTTGGTCACCACTAACTTTTCCCCCAACCTAGTTCCATGTCATTTAATATCACCCAACAACGAGGCCAGTGATTTGGTGTGACACATCCCAAACATTGAAACAGAATTTATTGATGACTAAATACATAACAACGTGCAGACACCCTTGCTTGTTTGTTCAGAACGTACACTTATCCTGAAATAATTATCGTCAACCATCTTTATGATGCCACCTCGAATGCAGTGTTTTAAACTCCTGCATGCAATAGTTTTGCACTCGCTACCAGCTAGACAATTGACACATTTCTCAACTACTTGAATTAAGTATTGCCTTTATGTTGAGGAGTTCGTAAGATCTCGTGTTTTTATTCTAGAAATCATCGAAATTTAATTTCATTAAGGCAGTTATACATGTTTCATTTCATCTGGCTTTTTGATTTAATTGCTTTCGGACTCTGATTAGGTAGTGAACTTTTAAGGACATTAGGTCTTTAGATGTTATTTTAGTGTAGCCAAACCCTCTGTGCTTGTCACAAAGGGATTTATTCACTTTACTACAAAGTACAATGTTTGACAATCTAGAGCATTCCGGAGGAAATACCGCCAATTTTTAGCAAGGTAATCGAGCTATGAGTCCAAAAATCCTCATTTTCAAGACATAATTTACTCCAAACTTTGCAATTAAAAAGAACAAATTACGCTTAATCCTGGCGATCCACTAATAAATCACCTCCAAATAGTGGGCTTTGAGATAAGGAAAAAAGAATAAATTACATTCAGCTTCTATGCTAAGAAGTTTAAGACTTAATTGTACAACTGATCAAACAGTTTTCAAACTAAGATGAGTTATTACTACACGAAAAGCGAAGGCATCTACGATGGGTTTGATGCAACGGTCTTTATACTCTAAATTGGTATCACCTAAACATATGTAGACTAATTTACTTGGAAATTTGGAAAGAAGTGTTTCAGCTTAGGTCAAATGCACTTTTTCACCTATATTCCAACCAATAAATATCACCACGGTCTAGTTATTTATTTTGCAGGAAGCTGGACACTGTTATTTACTAACCCAGATTTTAAAACGCCCGAAAGGCATATTGCAGGAAGGATTGCATTTTTACTTGGTTATAAATTCAATAGTTCAGTACATGTATTTCAAGGATGAGAAACTTTTCTGAGTTTATCCCAAAAAATCAAACTTTCCCCAGGAATCATAATTAATTAGTTACAGGACTTTATACTAATGGATGACATGCTCTACAGACGGATTCAAACATACAACTAGTTTTGCAGATAAGGTCATTAGGCGAAGCTGCCGAAATTCCCAAGCAGGCAGAAGAGGGGATGACAAGAAAAAGAAGGTAATATTAAATGTTGTTGACGTAGTAATAATAGATAAAGATTATTTTTATTAGATTGAATAAACCTTTCAAAGATGTTGAGATACAAATTAATCGATACTTATATGACCTTGCTAATTTTACCCATAGTATGGGCATATATTTTTGCAAACAAAGGATTACACAACAGCTCTAACTATTTTCAAATTTCGGGTCAGGTGTTTGAAACTTATCCGAAATATCAATGACTGGATAGCCAACCAGTGTCGTTAGTCTGAGAACATTAAAAAGGTTCATAAGCACTAATTAGCATGCGTGTAACCTCTATTTAGTATATCAACGTTAGTTTTAATACTGCGAGTTTATATGATGAAAAGCACAATAGGTAGTCTAAGCATGAAACAAGAATATCTTTAAAACTATAAACAAATAAATGCTGATTGAGTTTCAACAGAAGACCTTGCCCAGAAGCGGAACAATCCAAGTTGCTATGCTTCATATAGCAGACAAGGGTATAGAAAAGAGAAACAAAAGAACTAAAATAAGCAAAAATGTGCGGGAGAAATAAATACTAGTGTGGAAAGACGTGAACGTTTAGCCAATTTAAGAGACCACACAGAGTGAACGCATCTGCGCCACTGTGAACGATTTCGAAGCAATCTGCAGACGCTGATTTCAAAAGTCCTGCGGACCACCCTATGTGACTCAAACGAGTGGTGAAAGACTTCATGGATCGGTGAAAAGTTTTGACTTGACTAACCGTAACATTTGCCAAACCCAAACTTATGTCAGCTAACATTGCTCTTCGAGGAAGTTGTTGGTTCGGCATGCCTAGTCATTTTCATCGATTGATTTACTCTTCTTACCCAGCACTACCCCTAATTTTGATGTCAAGCACCACCAATAACCAATAAACACGAGCGTTTGTGGTCAAAGATGGCTAATCATTTCATATCTTCCACTTTCAATGGCCGTGCCCTACGGCTATAACGCAGGACAGAGCAAGATGCTGTCAAATACACACGACTTTTGATTGGTAGATGGAAATCACTTCTACGCTGAACATGACGCATTTTGGTAAATCTCATGAGTTTTTGTATCCACGCTGAGATTTAGTCAGAGATCAGTCCATTAGGGATTGCAAGACTTCCGAAGTGAAGTGGTCAACATGTTCTAACACTAATTCCCTAACTGTAAGCTGAGTCGGTGCAATCCAGTAATGCGGCATCATCTCATATTTGAACGATTCGCATGCTAATCATCACAAAATTCCAGGTCACGGTGTTCAAAAGATTGCAGTTCGTTAGCGTTTCCACCTAGAAAAACATCGTCCGCAAACTCTAAGTAGACAAGACTATTCCCTGGCAACGAGTCAATGCCTAAGCCACTAACGTAGGTTACAATCAATTCCAATGGCACATCTATAGTGAAATTACACAAAAGCAAGGAATAGGCATCTTTGACGGACACCACTGAACATTTTAAATGAAAAATTTCTATAAGCTCTTAAAAACAATTGCTCTACTTACCTTCTGAATTCCGCTTTACAGTCCATACTGCATTGGGATTACCTGGAAGGTCTGATTTCGCCATTTCAGATACTTCCAGACCATGTCTCAATAGTCTGAATGTTGACCCAGGACCCCGCCCACATAGACATGCTAGTTGCGGAGTATCCTCATTAGCAAAATCAGCAATCTAAACTTCATGAATTTTACACATCAAATACTTACGTGACAATTCATGATAGGTGATAAATTTTCAAGAACATCAACTTCGATAAGATTTTTAAGTGGTCTAGGAGAAAAATAGAAAGTGTCTCCCTCCTCTAAAGGCATAGCTGATGAGAATTCCGGCTCATCGTCGTCGTCACCTAGATGTGATATTTGGTATAGGCAGCTAGCGAAATAAATTTATCACATCAACTTACTGGTTTCCAAACTCCGAGGCTACAAATAAAAAGCCAGTTTTTAGAACACACATTGCAGTAGCCACTGGAACAGTATCAAAATACTTGAGTTTGATCTCAGTCACCATATCGTCATCGACTTCAAGGTTTATTTTGAAAATATCACCTTGTTCAGTTTGGGCCAGGAAGAAGAATAAATTCTGAGAAATTGGATACATAAAATGCAATCAAACCTTTGTTTTATGAGACGCACTGCACACGAACAAAATACCTCTGTCTGGGTCATCTAGGTCATTTTTCCTCTGAGGTATTGGACAACGTATATCCGGTTGGTCCCCAAAATTTTTATAGGTTATATAGTTTTCAGAACAAATCAATATGCCAGAAGGACCTTCATTACCTCCAGGCACGGCGATCAGAAAGTTAGCGTGTTCCTCTAGAGGTTCAGAATATTTTCGAACCACATGGTTCAGTCCAAGGTCCAATTCATAATACGTCAGAAGCTGATTGGCGCCACGGGCAGCTTCGCCTGTAGAGTCCTGATCTGCATCCTCATAATCCATTTCAATACATGCAAACAAAGGGTTGTCAAACCCGACGTCTACCCCAACCATGTGATAAACTAATGTGTTGGATTTGTGAGCTTCCAGCGGGGAAGATATGGTGAGTCTTGCTTGAGAATCCCGATTCATGATGTAAACTAACTTCTGCTTTTCAACAGCTCCTATCATAAATGCGCGCCCCTTGGGATTAACAGCCAAGTACTGCCCTGGCACAATTCGTCTGCAACCACTTTTCCCGAAAGTCTCTTGTTGTACTTTTTCAAAAATATTTTTAGACGGTATGTACTCCAACACAACAACCCGCCCAGAATCAGATCCCACGATTAAATAATCTGAAGAACTGTCAAAACTAACCAGAACTAACCTTTGCTACTACCAGTAAGTCGAAAGGGCATGAAAGATCTAACAATTCCAAAAGCCTCACATGTTAACAATGTATAAACTTTTCCTGTATTTGGATCAGGTCTCAGAAGCTCGATTATCTTTCCTCTTGCAACTGCGATCTCTTGTTGCTTTGTTCCCGAAAAATTGCCATGAACTGCATGAGTAATACCAGATGCACGTTGCAGCGTGATATTGTACAAATACATTTCGAAGAACTTTCAGAAAACCCGCCAACTACGCGTGAACAAGTCACTTTCAAAAGTCCACACAATTGTAGCACAACTTCCAATGTAAAGTACAGATCTTTGCTTCTAAACTATTATGAGACTACACTATTTATTCTTAAATAACATGCTCATGGTCATTTTTTCTTAAGTCATAATTAGTTTGCAAGCAATGTATATATCCAGGGTTAGGCGCTACTTTTAGGTGGTAAAATGTTAAATTCAAGATAACGTTTGTTGAATTAAAGACCCGGAATTCACTCGGCAAATTTCACCAGTTTCGGGCTATAAAATCATCTAGAATGAGATCAAACGTGGTGAACCAGTGTTGAAGTAATAACCACCACTTATTTCCATTTTAACACGTATATCTTAAAATTATAGTAAGTCGATAGTAAATCAGAGGATTCTAATACAACTCTTTCTCGTCTCAGAGGCTCTCTGGGTGGTTCACGGGAATTTCGGGAGTATTACCGTTCCATGATGCTACGTTATGAGCACTCTTTATATGAAAATTAATGCCAGAATAACTACTCAGATTGACATGGCTGCCCAATGAACCCTTCGGGAGAATATGTATGTATTAGCCGAAGGAAACTGTGCATTTGGCACTTCAATCGTTTTTGAAGTACTGACGTCTGCCTGGGACCACTAGTATTTAGGAAATTCTATATACGTATCGGCGTTTAAAAACTTATATCCTTCCGATTAAGAATTAGAAAGATATTTTTCACGTCACACAACACACATGGATTCGTACATTTAAACAGTGATAAAGAAAGGTAACAATAGTGTCGCACTTTCTATAGCTATATTTCTAGTTCCCTAGGTCCTTTATTACTACGTCAGCACTTGTTTATCCGTCTATCTGCTGGTTTGGGGAGAAAATTTGTAACCTAAAACGCCATATAGGTTGAGACTGGAACAAAACTATTTACTTCACTGGAGGTAAGTTCACACGCCGGCTTTGCAAACAACTGTCATAAATGTTTGATAAATACCCTGTAGTGGCCGAGATACACATCTTTGTAGTTTTTGTATGGAAAATTTTATTGCTAATTTCAATATCTTTCCGTAATAGATCATCATTTAAATACCCTAGTTCGATGATGTATACATAATTCTATGATCACCGAATGGTGCGAAAAAATCACGATAGTGAAAACAAAAGAATACTCGTGTAGGGATTCTATTTTAAATACCGCGTGGTTTCCTGAAGATAGCGCAGTCATGCTAACTAAACTCTAAGCAAAACTCCAAGTTTTAAATTACAGAGGTTGCAAACATTTAGTGGACTTTCAATCAACTTGTTTATTCGAACCAGTTTCTTGTTTGTCGGAAGCAACAATCCCTGTCGTGGCTTAGACGTTTGCTCTTCGACAGAAGACCACTGCGATACGATCAGAAGTAATAATGTGCATTATACCGACGTTACTTGTAGATTTACTCAGTGCATTGATAGCAACCAACTGTGAATCACATGGTCAAGCTACCATGAAATAACCTTCCTACATCAGCTTGTACGTGTTTGGTCAGTAAATCTTCGACTTACCATCCGTCTTTCAATACCGTTTGGATTGAAATGGAGCTGGGTGTTGTACACGTAAAATAGTATTGAGTTCCGGCTACAACAAATTTCATTCATTCTGCTTTCGACTTATTCCTTTCTATCGGAAGTTTTTATTAGAGGAACATCACAGCTGTGCAGTAGGCGCAGTTGATAACTATTTCCACTACATTATCTGTCAACAAAAGCGAAAACACCCTTGGCATTTTTTGCTTATAACGAATATTTCCGTAAATATTTTTTTTATTTAGAAGGCGTTAGTCGGTTAGAAACTAAAATAAAGTTACAAAAGTAGGTTGGGCGACGTAATCTAATTGATAGGGTTCAATGAAAAAATCAATGAGAGTCAAGTTAATAATCTGAGTAGAATTCACTTGAAAATGATTGAGAGTTAACTTAATAAGATGAGTAGAATTCACTTAAAAATAAACGAAAATCGAGTTATCAACAGTCGTCATGAGCGTAGAGATTTGACAGAGGGTGGGGGTAGAAAATAATGCAATTAAGAAATAGACAAACAAAGAAGAAAGAGGTAAGACAAAATTACGTATTCGGTGTTAAGATAGACCAGGACCATTGTAGATCTAGTGACTGAACCCTATCAATTAAAATTTTTATTTGTTGTCATTGTGTCTTTATGTAACAAAAAGTTTAAAGGTATATTTTATATATCGAAATGTACAATGATAAAGTCGCTTGCGATACCAATTCTACCGATCACATGGAATTCCCCACACCTCCAGTCAAAAGGATTCGCGTACCAATAAGGTTGCTGCACACACTTGTCGTCACGCTAAGAATCTACTTTGTTGACGATAACAGCAGTGCTTTGGTGAAGACATCCTGCCTTTTCGCAAATACTTTTGGCTCTCGCATAATTCTGTGTCCCAAAGTTGTCAACACTCGAGGTATCTGGGAGAATGATCTGTTGATGACCAACTTCTCTCCTCTCTTTCTGATAAGGCTTAAGAGTCCATCGTATAAAACTAGTATAGGTTTACGAACTGTATAATAGAGCACATAAAACGTGTGTGTAGTCCTGAAACTTGATAGTCACTTGCATTCTTCTGTCCCCTCCACTGATAGGCGTTGGCGTGATCTGATACACAGTTCAGAGAGCCATTTACCTGAATGTATTAGGTACACCACCTTCTAAATTGACCACTTCGCCGAGATATGGATAACATTTCCGCAAACCGTTTTATGAGAAGCAGATCGTCCATTCACCTTGAGGTGAGGCGAATGCCTAAAACAACTAATGGAAGATAGTTTGTCTATTCCACGTCGTTGACGGTCAACAAGTAGGCCTCAGCTGAGTGACGGTAACATCCTACGGAGCAACTAGGGGGTAGGCGATAAGCGGTGGCGCGAATGAGTTTGTATCTCGTAAGATCTGAAAACCACCTGAAAGTCACTGTTTCAAAGTGAAAAAGTTGCAGAACTATTTCCCGTCGAGGGGAAAATCATAAAAAGCGAGATTACGAGTGAGGATCAAAATCCTAACAATAATATTAAACGATAAGTTCGGATAAAAATAGTCAGGTAATAATTTTTGAGTAAATTGGCCGCATGTCATGTTCATGGTAAAGGTTTGATGAACTTCTTCTGAGTTTATAGTACCGGCTTGAATCCCTGGGTCAGTAATGCTCCAGTTGTGCCTATATTCTTGACCACGCTCACCTTGGGAGGTTTGGTTGGACGCTGTCTCTCATTTTGAAGGACTTTCCGGATGGGACTGAGCTTCTTCTCTTATTATTACATTTTTAAACCCTATTTGCATAAACAGTCAATCTTCTCTTTTATTATTGTTGCTTTCATCTGAACATCTTGTTTAAGTATTGTTGCGTTTTACATCCTGTAGCGTCCAGATCCATCGCTATGTTCTTTTAGTAACTATTTATATTTTTCACATGCTTTTTAGAAGGAATTTTGCGTTGCGTTTGCTGTACTTGCATCAGGAAATATAGCTTAGCACTAATATCTGCGCATTGCAGTGGATTAATTGAAGTATTAAGTTGGAAATTCAAAGGTATATTTAGGAGTTTTCATGTAATCATACTGGTACGTTCGGCCTATTTTTGGAACTCTATTGTTCTGATTGGTTCGGTAGTTGTCGGTATTTATATCGCGATTTCAGTGTTAATTTTATTTTTCGTTTTTAGACAAAATTTTTTAGCCCAGTGGGCATAATAAGTAGAATCGCTGTGAACTTGTGTTTCAGATGTCTTTTATCTTGAGGGAAGATTTACTCGCTATAAATAACTTAGGTTCATTAGTGGGAGAAACATGTTATCGTAGTTGGATTTAGGACAAGTTGTTCAATAACAAAAATTTATCTCCAAAACAGAAATCAGCCATCTTTACAGGCACAAACATACGTACGCTAATTAAAAGTGGTAGAATATATAATCTGTTTGGTTAATTTAAGTATAGATTAAACGGCTGAACTTATCCGAAATATTGGTTAAAATTTCGCTCGGTAAATGTTTTGTTATATAATTTTTGGATTATTAGGAATTCTCATTTCCTGGTTAGTTTTGTTAGTGTCCGGGTCATGTGATCTGACTGCGACACACTCTCAGCAAACTGATTGCAATGAGTGGCGTTTCAGGTGAACTGTGTCAAAACATAGCTATAATGAGGATGATGGGTAATGTCATCTACACAAACAGTTTACTTCATGTAGAAGCTGCACCTTTGGGCATAGTATCATTCAGTATAGACTCCATATCTCAAGATATAAATGTGGCTATTTTCGTGTGAAGAACAATATTATTTGACAGATGAACGCTATCAGTACATGGGAATCACCTATAAATGCTAACAGAACCTTCTGTGGCAACAGAAGTTATCATGTACCTCTGTCTTTCACCGTATGTATGTTTGGACGGGAATTATCGTAAGTTGAAAGGTTATGTGCAAGTGGATTTAATATATATTTGCACTGATTGGCACAGAAACAACATGAGTTATGTGGATTCACTGTAAAAGAGTTACCTCTATTAATATTGTACCATTGTGTGTTGGCTGACTGCTAAGCTAGCAAATGTAGGTGGTTCTCATGATTGTGGCAAGAGCAGTGCACCGCGGGAGACAATAACTCGTTTAATTTTCCCCACTGTTTAAGTGTATGGTATTATTATACACATGAATTAATCCGCAATTGTGTTGATCATGAGAACTGAATCTGGTTTGCCCTATTATTATTAATCTACCGCCTGTTATACCATTCCCACTAACATTTCAAACTTAATGCTGCAATGATTTTGATCACCAGTGGTTGAGATGAATTTCCGAGATTTTCATTTACATAAGGCAATGCGGATGCATTGTCACGACGGAATGTCTAGTTTGCATTATATTACATTGTTTTCCTCATCAACACAACTGGTCTGTTCATCCCACAATATTTTAGTTATATCTCTGTTGTTAAAACTGTGCATAGTTGCTTAGAGTTAAGACATGTTCAGCTTA